TCAGACTGCAGATGATCGAAGAGGCCTGCAACAGTGAAGATGACACCGACAGACCTTTCAACCAGCAAGAACTCCAGAAGTCGCTAAAACGAAGCAAGGACACAGCACCAGGGGCCGACAGGATAACCTACTCCATGCTTTCTCATGCCGGTACAGCCGGACACGAGGCTCTGCTACAAGTCATCAATGCTTCGTGGACAGCACAAAGACTCCCACCCGAATGGAAGAAAGCAGATATACAGCCCATTCCGAAGCCCAGAAAACCAGACAAACCGAGGCCCATCTCCCTTCTCAGCTGCATAGCGAAGACGGGAGAAAGAATGGCTCTCAACCGACTCAAGTGGAAAGTAGCCAGCCCACACCCTCACATCTTTGCTTACACCGAGAACACCGGCACAGGCAACAACATCGCCGAGATACTCAGCACAGTGGACTACAAACCAGCTCTGGTGGTCTTCCTCGACCTGGAGAAGGCCTTCGAACTAGCAAATCCACTGGCCATTACAACGACGCTCGCTGAAAAAGGCGTCAAAGGAAGGTTGCTGGGGTGGATCCAGAACTACCTCACACAGAGAGAAGCAAGAGTACGCTTTCAGGGAGCAACCTCAAGCTACAGGGTCCATGAAAACGGAACCCCACAAGGAGGCATCCTCAGTCCAATGCTGTTCAATGTCCTGATGGCAAATCTTGTCAAACTTCCTTTCAGACAAACAGCCAAGCTCCTATGCTATGCAGACGACTTACAGCTTATAGTAAGAGGATCAAACAGACTAGCCAACACGCAACACGCACTCCAACTTATAGAAGAGGAGTGCAACAGACTTGGACTCAAGATAAATCCAGCCAAGTCGAAAGCGATGGCCATCTGCACAGACACACCAGACAAGATGCTCTCCATACAAAATACGCCGGTAGTCTGGACCAACGCCCACCAGTGTCTTGGAATCTGGTTTGACCAGAAACTCACTTTCAAGCCGCAACTCGAGTATCTCGGGCACAGGACGAAGAGCAGACACAATATAATGAGGTCGCTCACCAGCACAACCGCAGGAGCAAACCTCCATGTGCTCAAAGCCTACTACACGGCCGCCATCAGATCGCTGGTAGATTACAGTGCTCCAGCACTCATTGGACTGAGAGAAGACCAGATAGCTAAGCTAGAAGTCATCCAAAATAATGCTCTCAGGACCATGCTCGGAGCACCCATGTGGACCAGAATTTGCAATTTGCAAATGGAAACCGAACTACCACCCCTGGCAGTACGAGTCAAGCAGGTGACAGCCGGTCTCCTCGCCAAAATCTGTAGATCAGATAAGCGCACAGCTGCCAAAATTCGAATCAGTGCCTCCCTCCACCTCGACCACAGAGTGCGAGGGGCCACCTGGTCGCACGAGGCAAGCGAGGTCATCCGACACCTGCAAGCAGAAACACTCGTCAAGAACAACCAGGACACACGAGACAATGGTTACGTAGTTCCTCCACCATGGAGCCCTCCACCAGCCACATTCAAAATTACCGACCTAGGCGATAGTAAAGCCAACCTCCAGAAGGAGGACCTCAAAAAATAACTCCCCTGAGCACATACTTGGAACTTTCCATTTGATCGGCATCATATACTTCACATGAACCAGCTCAGGGATCAACATCGCCCACATCATGAGGCTGACCTTCTACACTGAGGTCAGGCCCTCCGATGAGACTTGTATTCATCACCTACAAACAGGGGGCTGAACAGCAATCTCAAAATTTTCTAACACACTGCAACACAACACAACCGATCCATCATAATTCACACTTGCTCAGAAATCGGCCATGCGAAGCATACTTCAGTCAACAAAGAGTAGCGTCCACATCATAACATAGATCCTTGCACAGCCACGGAATTTAAAGGCAAACGCCCAGTCAAAAACTGCTGGATTCCCAGTCATGTAAAGGTCACGGAGAAGTAACCGTGACAACAGACAAACAGCCAAAACGCTACAAATTTCTAATGGCGTACACATTCAAGTTCCAGCAAGCGTGCAACAGATCAAGAATCACCTCAGAAAGACTAGCAAGCTCCACATCAAAAAGAGCTTCCTTCACGCATTCAACGCTGGTTCCCAATCAGCCAAATGGTACCTGGCGGCTACAAAAGGGGAACCACCTTTCGCTGACAAGAAAACACCAAGACAAACCCAAGTCAGCCTTCATCGACTACAACTAGGGCACAAGTGCTCCTGGCAGATGATCGGAAATGACATCATGGAATGCACCTACTGTCAGGAGCCAGCAGCCAACCCACTTGAACACTATCTCCTAGACTGCGAAGTCACACAAAGCCTCCAAAACAGAGTTCAAATCTCCCAAGAAGCACACACAACACCAGCGGCCACTCTAACCCGAAAGGCCCATACAGACCACATTCACCACCTTCTCCGGGTCATCACACGATACCCACCACCCAGATAGCTTAGAAAGCATCCTCTCCCAGCAAGTGCGGACCCCAGTTCGGGGGGCGCGCCACTCCGAAACTGACCACGTCCAAGAGTGGGGGTTGGTGGTAAGCGTCCTTGATCGGGGGTCCGCTCACACTTGCAACCTGCAGTATCCTTCCAATCCGGTCTGGCTGCTCCAGGAGCTCCAGCCGGAACCACCAAACGGGCCGCTTATAGGCAAAGGCCCGTGTTGGACTACGGTCCGACAATCTCAACAACAACAACAACGGTGACCTCTCTTCTTCTAACTACAGCCTCAGCAAGCAACACCACCTCCTCCACCGCTGCCTGGCGGCCCTCGCTCCCGCCGGCGAGCATGGCGACCCACAAGCTGGTCCTCCTCTGAGCATCCTCACCAACCCACCTCCTCCGCCGCTGCCTGGCGGCCCTCGCTCCCACCGGCGAGCATGGCGACCCACAAGCTATCCTCCTCTGAGCACCCTCACCAACCAGCTCTCTCTACTCAACGCTTGTAACCATGCTGCCTTCCCAGCACCAAGCTGCATTGTACATCCAATACAATATGTATACAGAGAGCACATTGTGAGTTTCCTTTCTCCATCCCATCCTGAGTGTGAACCAAACATCTCGTACCTCACAAATGGTGACCCCCGGAGTGACGCACTCACACAGGATGGAGGAGAAACCAATCACTCTCCCAGTCTTCAAGCAACATGGAAGACTGGCTTATCCACACAGATGCAGCTCTCATCAGCTCTACAGCTACTATCTCTACACTGCAGGTTAGACACCCTAGAGCAGCTCTGCAACTCTAAGAAGACAGCCGCTCCTCTTCCTGCCCCAAACACCACGTCCTACCGACCCCAACACACCTGTCCCACCCCGGCCCAGCAGTACCCCCTGCCGCTCCTCCTGACGCGGTCCCTGCTCCTCACGCGGACCCACACACCCCTCTTTTCTCCCTCAGATACCCCCTGCTAATGTCCTGCACCCTGCTGCTGTCGTGTACCCAGCTGCTGTCATGGACTCTCCTCCGCTCCTGCTAACGCAGCCCCTGCTCCTGACCCAGGCCCACACACCCCAGCAGGCGCATCTGATGACTCTGTACCTGCCGTGAGGGAAGCACAACATTCATCGCCTCCACACACCCTTTTTCTCCCTCTCTACTCCCACAGATATTGTGTATCTAGACAGTTGTCTCCTCTAGCGGCCAGCTCATCCACGCCCTCGCCATTATGGCTCACATGTGGCATGCACCGCTAGTTCTGCCTCACATGTGCCATGCAACCCTGCAGACAACAAGTCTCCTACACTGCCTGGAGGAAAGGGGGAGTACTGTAGTGGATACCTCCCGTACAAACGCTGTTTGTCGCTGAGTAGCCGACCCTGCGAATTCCCCAGTGTATGCCTCATGGTCTAGATCAACCAGCGCCGCCGCCTTACATGACGGAGGTCAACTATTAAGCCACGCCTACCTCTGCTATATAAGACCTAACCTCGTGGTGACCTTTCTTCTAGTAGCTGCAGCCGCAGCAAGCAACACCACCTCCGCCGCCGCTGCCTGGCGGCCCTCGCTCCCGCCGGCGAGTATAGCGACCCACAAGCTGGTCCTCCTCTGAGCATCCTCACCAACCCACCTCCTCCGCCACTGCCTGGCGGCCCTCGCTCCCGCCGGCGAGCATGGCGACCCACAAGCTGTCCTCCTCTGAGCACCCTCACCAACCAGCTCTCTCTACTCAACGCTTGTAACCATGCTGCCTTCCCAGCACCAAGCTGCATTGTACATCCAATACAATATGCATACAGAGAGCACATTGTGAGTTTCCTTTCTCCATCCCATCCTGAGTGTGAACCAGATTAAGGTAAATCTTCACTGTAGATTATAGATATTATGTTTATGTAATTATTGGGCTCTCAATTCTAAATGAAAATTTGGTTATATTACGACATTTTAAGTGGATATTGTAGGGGATACTTTTATTTTGTGTGGATTGCAAAAATAGCCTTGTGCTTCCCATCCAAAAAGTTTTGGCCGAATTTTGGGCGCTTTGGCCGTGAGATGGCTTGAATTTGGCCGTGAAGCTTGTCGTACATCTGGCAACCCTGCAACAGGCCACTGACCAGCAGTTGACTTCAAAGCGAACATACAGTTGCACACACGGTATGCGGGGTCTCGAAGCTCATCTCTAATCAGTATATAATAATCACTTTAAGTCCTCTTCCTTACGAGTCCACAAACGTTTTAGGTAAAGGTTTACGAAACTGTTATCACCAAAAGGAAATGTGCGATTTGCTTGAGTTCGTGTTTTTACCCCATAATTTCTCTTCTTCCATGCCCTGCCCACTAACAAGGAATTTAAGATCGTCGGATAGACAAGATGAAAAAATATATATATTAGAAAGTCGGGTTAATATATAGGACTAACCCGCCACAAGGGGTCACAGCTCAAGATTGAAGAAGCCGCAAGTCCAGAAAACTGTGAGGACAAACTTTTTCGGAGTGAGAGTTGTAAACTCTTGGAACAATCTACCAGAGAGTGTTGTGACGGCACCGAGTGTGAGCTCTTTCAAGACAAGACTTGACCAACACTGGAGTGGGTTCAGGTACATTCAGGAGTTGGTGCATGCCCAGTACCTGCCAACAGTGCGTGACAGAGACGACCGATTGCCCAGGCGGCTAGTGAGCCGATCTTTTGGTGAAGAAGATAAATGTAAAGGAAAAATGGCTGCATAGCTCTGATGCGGCCGTATCACCTCACGTCCATTAAATGACTCAAATTTCACCATATCATAGTAAGTTCTTTCTGTTTAATGTACCGGGGAAGTTAGGTAAGGTTAGGTAGGGTTGTTTGGTTTGGTTGGTTAGGTCTGTTCTTTATACCCACAAATGTTAAGTAGTTTTTATTTAAAAAATATACATTTTATAGCATTTGGTAAACTTGCATTGTCACACCGTTCTCTGTTAGAAAGTCAAAAATATATTTTTTTTATTGTATTTGTGTGTGTTTAGACCGAATATGACCTTCATTTTTGGCGGAAATATGCCTTTTTTTATGAAATTTTTTCGTTGGACGTTTTCCGAAAAAAATTCATGGCAAAATACACCAAAAAAAAAAAAAACACAAGAAAAACAAAAGCCAAACTTAACCTAACTGCCTGACTCTCACCATATGATGGAATCACCTATTTCTTACCTTATTGGCCTGGTTCTCGTTCATCGGTGGATTCTGAGATTCTTACACAACGCCACATATGTTGGTCTTTGCGATATTTACATTCAGTCTTGCTCTTAGTACACTTTACTGAGGTTGGAAGAACACCATGAGATCGAAAAAATGCTATAGTTTCTTCTTTTTTTTTCCAAAAAACTCAACCAGCTCCATATAATTTAAGTGACACTCATCGCAGACTTCCATGGTCGGAACTGAACTTGAATTTCGAAATATCAGGGACCCAAAATAAAACTCGAATTTGATTGGGCCAAATATACTGCGAATTAAACCCAAAATCATTTTAATTGGTTCCAAAAACAAAAAAACTTTTGATTGGCTTAAACTAACCTAACCTAAATATTTCAGTAGCTTAAAACTTTGGGGCATGCCATGTCCGAAAGTACAATACCTTAGTTCGAAGTGGAAGGACCAATACAAATATTACCTTCACTGCTGTCGGATATGAGTGGAAGGTCAAGAAATACAAAAACCTGAACAAACCATACTTAACCTACCTAACCTAACCCCTAGTGTGTAGTGTGTAAGAAACTTACCTTAAGTAAGAGATACAGGAGGATAGAGTGATGCGACTAGAAGGAGGAAGTGGTGTCTTCATCAGTATCCGTCTCTTACCACAGTACTGTACTGTACCATGCATGGTGATCTACATGGTACTGACACTGAATTACATCTCGGACACTTTACAAATGAAACAAGAACACCATGAGCCCTAAAAATGTCAATGACTGCTGCTTCATTGTCCAGCGCATACTGAATAACAAGCCAGTCGGCAAGTGTACTGTACATCCTTCTCACACGGACTCCATCTTCCAGGATCGAGACGCATTGATTGGTGCACAAGTATTACGTCACATCGGCACTCACGCTGATTAGCACACAGTACTGTGATGTCACATCAAACACGTTAATTGGCCGAATATTATAAAATAAAAGTTAAAACTCTAAAACTATCGATTTCCTACAGAAACGTTATGGAATAAATTATTTTTAATTTTGTTTTTTCTCTTTCTCCCTTAATATGACTCAATGTTCAGTTAGGTGTTGGCAACTACTAAATATTAACCTTAGTAGGAGCTTACCAGTTACAGTAAAATATCTACTGCCATATTTAAAAGCTTAACTTAACCTCACCAAAACTAATGTTACACTAACCTAACCTGTTAGGGTCAATTTATTATAGATGTCATCATGCAATATTGGATTTTTTACAATGCTACTCATAAGTTTAGACAAAAACAAAATGACTTGGCGGTTTTTTCTCATAACCGAGATATTGAGAGTTGAAAATCAGAAAACCAGTAGAAAAATTTAAGCTATTATTGCATTTTTTGCCGTCACCTGAATCTCTTGACTTTTTTTACTTTGCAATAGTTTAGATAATTCTAAGACTTTTCTTCTCTGACATTTCCTTAATCATAATGACTTTTAGGAATGCATCCCTTGCAATAACTGTAGTATTCCTGTACAGTGGTCCCTTGGTTAATGAACACAATTCGTTCCAGAAGGTCGTTCGTTAACCGAAAATTTCATTAACCGAAACCATTGTTTCAATGGGATTTTCGGTAATTGGTTCCAGCTCACCAAAAATTACGTACAAACTAAAAATAAATGCAGTAAAGTACACTTACTTTGAGGTGTGCAAGTCGAAGGCTCTTGGTTGATGATGATGGGAATTAGAATGGGGGTGGAGGAGAAGGAAGAAGAGAAGGCCTTGGGGTGGAAGAGAAGTCACCCCATGCTGCCATTTCACCCATAAAATTTTAGTTCACTTGGTGTAATTCAAGATTATTTTCTTTAAATCAACACTGACTGCATTATATATTGGCATTATGTAAAATAAACTTCAGAATGACCAATAATTGTACTGTAAAACGTAAAAATAGTTTATGTTCAAGAGAGTCTCAAGCAAGAAGCTTCTTCCACTGAGCAAGGAAACACACTGACGCCATTTTGGGTGTGTTGAGTGGCTGTTTGGCGCGCTAAAAACTAGTTCCCTGTACTTCAATTATGTTAAATAATTGTTAAAATGGCTAAAAACTTTAATATAAGACTTGGAAAATTATTTAATAGTACAACCTTCTTGATATTTACTCAAATGGTAACGAATTTAAGTCCTAAAACAGATTACTGTATTGGCGGACTAATACTACAGCTAGTGAGCAGCCAAATGCAAGCGAAAACATGTTGGGAAAAATTCGTAAGGAATTCGTTAACCGAAATGTTTTCGTTAACCGAAGTGAAGAATCTTATGGAAGGTAATTCGTTATCCGAAGTGAAGAATCTTATGGAAGGTAATTCGTTATCCGAAGTGAAGAATCTTATGGAAGGTAATTCGTTATCCGAAGTGAAGAATCTTATGGAAGGTAATTCGTTAACCGAGGCGTTCGTTAACCGAGGGATCACTGTACTGTACTTCCATCCTGATATAATGAGGTTGGGTTATTCCATTTTATATTTAATATTGTAAATTATACAATGTACCAGTTGCTGGAAGTGGTCCTCTGTATGGAATGGTCGCTAGGAAGAGTCCTGTGTATGTTAAACTGTCACATGAAGAAAATGGCAGCAGGGACTTATTATTGGTGTTACAGGATGAAAAAAAATGTGAAGATATCATACAAATTATAAATACTCTTCAGTTTTTAAGGATTTCTTCAGGTAGCTAATAAAGAAGTTGTCTTGTAGAAACAAAGTTAACCTGTGTAACCATTGCAGACTATTATCAAAACTTTGTTATAAAACCTTATATGACATACACAAGTAAGAAATGCATCATCAAAACATGAATATTGAGGTTAATCAAGACTTGCTTACTCTTTATGTTGTTTATCACATTTAATTATTTTTGTATTTCAGGAAGGCCTGAGAGGAGGGCCTGGTTCCTGCTGGGATTTGTACTGACTCACTGAAATCTTAACTTATTTAATTGTGGATCAAGCTTTACTTCCTCTCATGGTTGAGGATGGGGCTTCGGTAAGTTTGTGAAGTTTGTTGTAAAATATGTTTATGTTACTGAATCTCAACAAGTTATTTCATCCTCTGAATATTGATGTGGTAGATTTTTCTTGCTTATATCAGGGATGTTTTTATGTTGAGTCAATTAACTTCCTCTAGAGAGGATGTACTTTATCATCCCAAGTTTCAGTGCCAGGAGAGTTGCTCTTCATTTATGATGACATATTCTGTCCAGGGGGAGGGATGAGGTGTCTGGAAAGAATGTCACAATATTGTTTAGAAAAAGTCAAAGGATGTAGACATATCTTTTGAATTGTCTAAATAGTATTATTATTATTTTTTTTTTTTTACGGAGAATAGCCCACCGGGGCACAGGTCATTGAGCCACAACAGGGCCTAGGGTCGAAAAAATAAGAGTAAAAAGAAATTAAAAATAGAAGAGAAAAAGACTATTAATCCTCACCATAAAAATGCTGAAAAACCAGCTTTTTGAAGTGAGACTGATTGTATGAATATGGAAACAAAGAAGAAGGCAGAGCATTCCACAGTTTGGCTGTTTGACGAAAGAAGGATGTACTAAAACGGGTAATTCTAGTGTGACCGACATCCACACACAAATGGTGGGCACTGCGTGCAAGATGGGTTTTACGAGCCTATGGCCTTGCCGGCGGTACACAGGTGCCAAATCCACCAAACATTGCCCATTAAAGTACGTTTAAAAGAGAGAGAGTGAAGCAACATTGCGGCAAAGAGAAGGGGAAGAGAGATTATCAACTAAAGGAGGAGAGCTAATAAGACAAAATGCCTTTGGTTCCACCCTATCTAACAGTTGGACAGAAGAAGAGCCACCCCAGATATGACAACAGTACTCCAAGTTAGGACGAATAAATCCCTTATAAACTTGAAGCAACTGCTCAGGGGTAAAGTAGCTATGGCACCTGGTCAGCATTCTCAGCTTTCGGGAGGCATCTTTAGCAATGTTGAGGATGTGTGGCTTCCATGACATATTAGAGGAAATGGTGAGGCCTAGAAACAGATCTAGTTTTAGAATTGGGGGAAGGGGAAAATGTGAAGAGTGAAGAGTAGAATCATCAGAGTAAAAATGGATAGAATTAGTCATATTGTGAAGTAAATCTTTGATAAAAAGAAGGAAGAGAGTAGGTGAAAGAACAGAACCCTGTGGGACACCACTATTGGTAGAGAAAGAACGAGAGCTCAATCCCATGACTACAACTGCCGTGCATCGGTTCTCAAGGAAGCTAGAGATTAGAGAACAAAGTGGAGAAAAGAAACCATAAGAGGGGAGTTTAGAAAACATGCACGACATAGATATAGGCATAGACAGCAACATAAGTAAATTTGCTGCTGACACTAAAATAAGGCATGTACAGTAGTTAAATCTAACAAGGACTCTGCAAAACTACAGGAAGATCTAAAAAAAATTGCACGGTCTGAAAAATGGCAGATAACATTTAATGTAAACAGAGAAACCAGATATCAGATGTTATTGAGAAATCAGACTGTTGGAAAGATTTAGGAGTACAGAAGTAATGATAAGTAGGAATCTTAAACCAAGACAACAATGCATATTTGCTCGATTCGAGGCTAACAAAGTAATTTGGTTCCTACAAAGTAGTGTTAGTTACAAGACTTGGGAGGTTATCCCAAAACTATATCTTGCGCTTGTGTGACCTCACTTGGATTACACAGTTCAGTTCTGGTCACCGGACTACAGAATGAATATAAAATCCTTAGACAAATTTAGATTTAGGCACGAGATAGGTAAACACTGGTTGGGAAATAGAGTAGTGGATGAGTGTAACAAGTTATCAAACTTCATCATTAACTCAAACATGCTGGGTAGCTTCAAATATAAGTTTGGACAGATATATGAGCGATATTGGTTGGGCATAAATGGGGCTGCCTAGTATGGGCCAATAGGCCAGCTGCAGTTTCCTCCATTCTTATGTTTTTATGTTCTTTGTGGAGCATAATATGAATAAATATGATTAATATAATATTGGCACATGTATGACCATGACAATAGTTATGTGGGATTCATTGTCGTTTGTGGTTAGTAGTTTTTTCCTTCCAAAGTATTGAGTAGGTGGGCACTTCCTAGACACTTGGAATGACACAAGGTAGTCCCTGTGAGATGCACATTATAACATTGTTTCCACATTCTGCTGTAAAGGTGAAGCAGCTGAGAGGATACAGGGGGTCCCCAGGTTAAGAACGGGTTCCGTTCCTGAGGACGTTCTTAAGTTGGGAATGTACATAAGTCAGAACACATACCCTATGTGCACTATATCATAGACCAAGTCCTTTTATACATCTTGAATCACTTAATTTACGAAAAAAAGATAAATTGAATGACAAAATACAGTAAAGTACAAATTAAAGTTTAACAATTACATTGAATCCTGGGGCCGGCTTGCATGTAGAGATGGACATTTGTAGGAGTGACAGGATTTATTGGGTAGGTTGAACTGAAACTTTTTTCATCATAAATTTTTCTGTAGCATCATAGATATTCAATAATACCTCTATGAATTTTGGTGAATCTTGCTGTGTTGGCATCTTGCTGTTTAAATGTAAACATTCCTTCTTCAATAAGCCTGAAACCATCTGCCATTTCTTTTGTAATGAATCCCTTTGGTTCTGGAGTTTCAGCTTCCTCTACATCCTCTGACAAAATTTGCTTGTCCAGTTTAGTCAGGTCCTCACTGCTTAATTCTTCAGCATGAGACTCAAGCAACTGTGTGACATCATCCTCATGAATATAAAGCTGGAGTTTGTTCCCAAGGTCTACCACTGTCCGTGTCACTTCCCCAACGTCAATTTCAAAGTCCCCGATAACGTCAGCAAACTGTGGGCAGTGTTTTTCCAAACACCATTTGCCCTTACCTTGAAGCAGTTAAACCAGCCCCTACTAGCAACAAAATCTTCCCCATCACTTTCATCACCACGTTTAGTCTTCAAGTCTGCATGCAAGCTTCTCGTTTTTTACTGAATCGAGGCTAAACTTAGAGGCAAATCCCGTTGATTTTGATCTTCCATCCATAACACTAACAATATTTCCATTTCAATTAACATTCCACTTCTTTGTTTTGTTGTCACACTTGAGTGCTTTGGTGTAGATCATTTTACATATTCAAAAATGTATTTTTGTGTTTTAAAATTGTTCCGACCATTGACCGACTGAAGCTCAACACCTTACCAATCACTGAAGGTGTTTCTCCTTTTTTAGAACATTTAATTACGTCAACTTACTTCCATCATAATTGTTTTCCTTTTCTTGGCTGCATGTGACTGGGTGCGATGTATCACTCCCCACGTGCCACTCCGCCTCCCCTCTATGCCACTCAAACTAGTTCTCTTACGTAACTGCTACAAACCAGTTGGACCACGTCGGATTTTTTAAATAATTGACTTTATGGGATCTTGTTCATATTGGTGGGTGTTCGTAAGTCGCGCGTTCATCAGACGGGACCCCCTGTACTGGGTTTATCTTCAGTCTTAAGGATTGGTAGTTAGCACCCAGAACATCCCCAGTCAATCCAGCTGTTAGTCAGTACTGTACTGTAATTATGGAAGTGAGGCTAATTGATTACAGAGCCAGCCAAGTTGTTTCCTTGGGGAACTATCTACTTTACAGTAAGTCTTCCATAAACTATGGAATTCCGAAAACTTCAGCATTGTAATACTGTTCACTTTATTTCAGACATAAAGGTGTGAGTGGACGGATGTAAGAAAGGACCGTTATGGTAACATCAGGAGGCCATCCCACACAAACATCTCCCACCACAACTTCGTCTTAAAGCTCTATAAAACAAGAGCCAGAACAATTCCTCACAACTGTGCAATAAGTCAGTACAGTATGAGGATTAGTGAACATTTTTCGAAGAACATTGTAAGCATAATTAAGGTAAATGTCAACTCTCCGATTGTTAAACAATATGAAAGTCAAGTTGGTGTTCTAGGAAACTGTGAGAATAAACACAAGGTTCACACAAGTGAATCTCTCCTGAAAATATCATTTAAGTGGTTCATTGTGTTATATATTGTCTAAATACAGGATGAAGAGTGTTGCAATGTTCAAACTAAACTATTACCTTGTGACTTGCACTTGTGTACACTGCTAATAAATTTTCCAATATATAAATGTGACATGTGTTTGCTGTGCTTGTGTACTGTTGAGACAAAGTTCACTTGTGGTAAATGTTTCTCATACAAGAGTAGCTCAAGAACCACATACATGTGCAGAATTATTAATGCAAGTTTAGTTGTGAAAAGTGGATAACCTTTGTATGCGGTGCTAAAGTTACCCAAATGTGTGTACACTGATGGATATATTTTCTTGTATGGAGTGTTGTAAAGTGTGTAAAAGATGGCCCAGTTTATGAATCAAATAGCAGGACCTAGTGGGCCAAATAATGATCAGTGTGGGGAAGTTTTTGGCAGTAATGATGCTTTGAAAATGCATACATGTACACATGAACACATAGATGATAAGATAAGTATGAAGTGTGAAGAGTTTGAAGAAAGCTTTAACAGTGACTATGATGGGACACATCATGTGACTGCTGATGAGACAGACATTAAGTGTGAAAAGTTTGAAGAAAGCTTTAGCAGTGACTATGATGGGACACATCATGTGACTACTGATGAGACAGACATTAAGTGTGAAGAGTTTAACGAAAGCTTTAACAGTGACTATGATGGGACACATCATGTGACTGCTGATGAGACAGACATTAAGTGTGAAGAGTTTAATGAATGCTTTAGCAGTGACTATGATGGGACACAACATGTGACTGTTGATGAGAAAGGTCTTGATGAAGATTGTGGTAAAAGTTATTACAGAGAAGACAAACTGAAGCAGCATATGGTTGTACACACTGGTGAGAAGAATTTTGAGTGTGGTAAAAGTTATTACAGAAAATATGAACTGAAGAATCATATGGTTGTACACACTGGTGAGAAGAATTTTAAGTGTAAAGATTGTGGTAAAAGTTATTACAGAAAATATGAACTGAAGAATCATATGGTAGTACACACTGGTGAGAAAAATTTTAAGTGTGAAGAGTGTGGTAAAAGTTATAACAGAAAAGACAATCTGAAGCAGCATATGGTTGTACACACTGGTGAGAAGAATTTTAAGTGTGAAGAGTGTGGTAAAAGTTATTACAGAGAAGACAAACTGAAGCAGCATATGGTTGAACACACTGGTGAGAAGAATTTTAAGTGTGAAGAGTGTGGTAAAAGTTATAACAGAAAAGGCAATCTCAAGCAGCATATGGTTGTACACACTGGTGAGAAGAATTTTAAGTGTGAAGAGTGTGGTAAAAGTTTTTACACAAAATCCCATCTGAAGAGACATATGGTTAGACACACTTGTGAGAAGAATTTTAAGTGTGAAGAGTGTGGTAAAAGTTATTACACACTTACTGAATTGCATAAGCATATGGTTGTACACACTGGTGAGAAGAATTTTAAGTGTGAAGAGTGTGGTAAAAGTTATTTCAGAAAAAGTGAACTGCATAATCATATGGTTGAACACACTGGAGAGAAGAATTTTAAGTGTGAAGACTGTGGTAAAAGTTATTTCAGAAAATATGAACTTCAGAATCATATGGTTGAACACACTGGTAAGAAAAATTTTAAGTGTGAAGAGTGTGGTAAAAGTTATTACACAAAACCCCATCTAAAGAGACATATGGTTAGACACACTTGTGAGAAGAATTTTAAGTGTGAAGAGTGTGGTAAAAGTTATTACACAAAATCCCATCTGAAGAGACATATGGTTAGACACACTTGTGAGAAGAATTTTAAGTGTGAAGAGTGTGGTAAAAGTTATTACACACTTACTGAATTGCAGAAGCATATGGTTGTACACACTGGTGAGAAGAATTTTAAGTGTGAAGAGTGTGGTAAAAGTTATTACACACTTAGTGAATTGCAGAAGCATATAGTTTTACACACTGGTCAGAATTTTAAGTGTGAAGAGTGTGGTAAAAGTTATTACACAAAACCCCATCTCAAGAGACATATGGTTAGACACACTTGTGAGAAGAATTATAAATGTGAAGAGTGTGGTAAAAGTTATTACAGAAATGATCAACTGCAGATGCATATGGTTTTACACACTGGTGAGAAAAATTTTAAGTGTGAAGAGTGTGGTAAAAGTTATTACAGAAAAGGTGATCTGAACAGACATATGGTTAGACACACTACTGAGAAGAATTTTAAGTGTGAAAAGTGTGGTAAAGGTTATTACAAAATCCCATCTGAAGAGACATATGGTTAGACACACTGGTGAGAAGAATGATAAGTGTGAAGAGTGTGGTAAAAGTTATTACAGAAATAATCAATTGCAGATGCATATGGGTTTACACACTAATGAGAAGAATTTTAAGTGTGAAGAGTGTGGTCAAAGTTATTACAAAATCCCATCTGAAGAGACATATGGTTAGACACACTGGTGAGAAGAATTTTAAGTGTGAAGAGTAAATGGAAGTGTTTATTGTATTCCATGTAGCAAATGTAATTGTAATTATGTAGGACAAACAGGAAAAACACTGCAGCTCAGAATCAAACAACATAAGTATAATATCAGAACAGCATCTGAAAGCAGTGCCTTGTTCGTTCATGTTAGGAATAATAATCACCCCATTGCTTGGGAAAAAAGCTTGGAAGTATTTAAATCATCTTGTGTCATAGAAAGACTTCTGGTCGAAGCTAGTTTGATTAAGGAATTAAAATCAATAAACCTTAGTGATGGTCAGTTCAAAACTGATAATATGTTACATAAATTTATTTGTCAGTGGCCCAAGGTTAAAAATGCTTTGAAAACCTTTGATCTAGATGTATGATAGTTATTTTGTGGGTCCCTTATTTTTTACCTGACCTGACTAGTCACGTCACCCCTCTTCTCTTAAGCTCCTCTACGTGTGTGTTGGTGTGGGGATTAGTGGATGACATCATTATGACCTGACCTCATGTTTAATAAGGTCACCCTGTATATTTAAGCCTCTCTCTGTCCATGTAGTCCAGTTGCCTCTGAAGATGTCTTGAATAAAGACGAAAGCTAAGGTGCTCCGTTGTTTCCATTTTCCCGTGTGATTTTATCAAGATACATATATATATATATATATATATATATATATATATATATATATATATATATATATATATATATATATATATATATATATATATATATATATATATATATATATATATATATATATATATATATATATATATATATATATATATATATATATATATATATATATATATATATATATATATATATATATATATATATATATATATATATATATATATATATATATATATATATATATATATATATATTGCTTTTATCCTCTTTGCCACTGATCGGCTTGTTAGCCGCTTGGGCGATCTGTCATGTCTCTGATTACTTTTCCTTTTCATTTATCTTCTTCACCAAAAGATCGACTCGCTAGCCGCCCGGGCAATCGGTCACATTTCTGTCACGCACTGTTGGCAAATACTGGGCATGTACCTGAACCCTCTCCAGTGTTGGTCAAGTCTTGTCTTGAAAGAGCTCACACTCGGTGCTGTCACAACACACACTGGTAGATTGTTCCAAGATTTTACAACCCTCACTCTGAAAAAGTTTGCCCTCGCGGTTTTCTGGACTTGCAGCTTCTTCAATCTTGAGCTGTGACCCCTTGTGGGGTGAGCGTCCGCCTGCTCCAAGTTAGGACACTCAACTGCGTAGTGCCCCCTGAGATGCTTATACACCTCAACTAGGGCCCCCTTGCCCGTCTGTAGTATAAGCTAGACAAGTTCAGGCGGTCCAATCTCTCAGGGTAGGTGAGGTGCCGAAGTGCAGGCACCAGTAGTCTCTCGCCAATAACGACTTCCACAATAACGTTTTCGACAATAACGGTAAGTTACAATAGATACCCATTTCGATAATATCGTCTGGATTCTCTTGATTAACGGAGATTTTGCGGGAAGCGTCCGTGCGCATCAATGATAGCGTTTGTTTGCCGCCATGTTGATGGTGTAGTTGTCCGCTCCGCCTCAATCTCACTCTCACACACCCTCCTCCGTGGAATACAGCGTCTATAACCAGTGGTTGCTAGGGTCGGTGATCGATAATGGTTTCCACATTTTTGCCTGTGAGGGCTAGGGGAGGTGGTGGAGGGAGTGATTTGCCGCCTGAAAGCCCGGGAACTTTTAACGTGAATGAGAAAAAAGACCCCAATGCTAAGAGACAAAGCCACAAGAAGCATGCCTACTCGGTCAAGGATAAAGAACAGATTGTTGAGCTCATTGAAAGTGGTGCTGTAATGGGCCGAGTCCTTTCACTTTATAGTCCATCTAAGCTGCCACTATGTGTAATGGGACGTTTTCTTTCTACTTCATATTTTAACATCCAGATATTCTTTTCTGTTTTTAGTCTTCAATTCTTCATTTATATATATACTTTATATTCTTATTTAGTACGGTATTCTTTTCTTAGTTATGTATATTTTTTTTTATTAAACTTTCATGGTGTCTTTCAGTGGCGGCTCGTGAAAAATAAAATGGAGGGACTGCAAGCCTCACACAACAGTAGGATACACAAATTTGACCTACCTCAGGTATGAGTTGTAGTTGATGTCCACGAATTCCCAGGGCAACGATAAATTAATCATGTTATTCATATGTTTGGCTGACTGCTCATATTTCACTATTTTCTGTGGCAAATGCCTCAAGTCAGTCACACCACTTTTCGTCCATGCCGAGTCCCCACCAAACAATAAGCATGGAAAGCAGAATAAAGTATTTGCCTCGTCACAACCACAGAGCCATTCACATTTCTGATAAACACTCATGTTAAACTGGCGTGTATATTCTTTGTTCCTGCTTGTACTGTTCTGTTGAATGGATAAAACTGGTGTAGGTCTTCCTCTTGCTTTGATTTCAGTCTTTTCATTTAATGTCAGCTGGGAAAAGTTGATGTTTTGCAAATACTTCACTCGATTTTCCATCGTCAAAGGGTAATTAAAGAAAGCACGATTTAACCACACCGTCCACACGCAATGTAAACACGTTGTACGAGACTGAGCTGCTTCAAGTGCAGCTCATTGCGTGCGGCGGCGGCGCCAATTAATAACAGACATGAATCGTACAGCATTGACAGCAACTATGAAAGTAACTTAAATTTTGGTCTGATTTTAATGAAAATTCACTTAGCAACGTATTGAAAATAATTAAATAACATATAAAATGATATATTTGTTGGTAGTGTATTATTCAGCTGTCTCTCTAAAGGAATCATACGCCTGGCAGTGAGTGTCTGGGGGGGACTGCAGCTCTGCAGCCCTATGCACGAGCCGCCACTGGTGTCTTTATTTAATAATTTCTATGCTTTGTCTTTAGTTCCACAATGTACATAAATGTCTTATATTTCTTTGCTTATACTTTCCAAGTCTTTCATTTCTTTTCATATATAATATTAGATTTTCTAAATTTCAATGTCCTTACCTTTCTGAAGTATACTCTGTTTTTACTTATATTATCATACATGGGTTAGTCTGGGGTACCATGTTATTCTTAGTACAACACTTATTATACTTACAAGGGTATGCTGCCACCACCCAGACTTTTGTTAGAATATAACATAACTCATGGACAACTTTTGGGTAGTGTGATAGATGTATAGGCACGTGAGTAAGTATTATTACCTGGGAACCAATGTTCAGAAGGAATAGAGTGGCAATACTCGTAGATTACTATTTCAATATTTATTAACACAGTGAGTGAATAAGATGTTTCTTAAATTCACTCAGACAAGACTGGACCCTCAGGTCCTACTGTACCATTGACAAAACAGATCCACAATTACTTATTAATTCATTAAACACTTCAAGTACTTATTACACCATTTAACTACTTCAATTACTCACTACTTAATGAGACAACTGTTGTATTATTTCTCTGACAAGTAAGATTCAGGAGTTACTATATATGGTCAGATAACACTAGACCCTCAGGTCGTACTTTTATAAGTAACAAATTACGTCTTCAATTCTTGGTTACAACATTTAACAATCATTATATTATTCCACTGTTACTGCAAGTGGATAATATGACACCCTTGACACTATCCCGAATTAAAATAGTCTTTATAACAACATGTTACTTCGGAATGACTAACGTGACACTTTAACGAGTATTCAGTGGTTTGGTGGACTCAACTCCGAGAATAACAATAACCCTGGTACCACCAACATTCATGGATTCAATACTTAACCTGGGATGACTATTTTCTGCTAGTCATCGCCAAGCATGGATATTAATACGGCTCCATACATATAGCCGAGAACAATAGATGGACCACGATCACAAGACTGAGTCAGCGGTGCAAAGTTGTTTACAGGCTCGCTTGCTAGCTCGGAGCGCCCGAGGACGTTGACTCGTGACATGCTGTCAGAGTCGTCGATGACGTCTCCTGAGGAATCTCGTCCTGGGATTCTAGTCTCGCCACCTTAAAGACATCCTTCGAGAGCCATCTTGCCCATGGGCGGCTCCCGAACCTCATTAGTGTTGCCAACACACAAACAGCGTCTTTTTTTTTTCTTTTTCTTTTTTTACGGGAATTAGCCCACCCGGGCACAGGTCAAACGACCCACAACGTAGCCTGGGGGGCGAAAAAAAAGAACGGAAAGAAATTGAAAATATAGAAAAAAAAGGTTATACTGTATTAATCTACACCACGAAGATGCCGGAAAACCAGCTTTTTAAAGTGAGACAGATTGTAAGAGCATGGAAACAGAAGAAGGCAGAGCATTCCACAGTTTGGCTGTGTGAGGAAAGAAGGAGGTACTATAACGGGTTATTCTCGTGTGACCGACATCCACAGAGAAATGGTGGGTACCGCGGGCAAGACGTGTGTTACGAACCCACGGCCTTGCCGGCAGTACACAGGATGCCAAATCCACTGAACATTGCCCGTTAAAGTACCTGTAAAAGAGAGAGAGTGAAGCAACATTGCAGCGAAGAGAAAGGGGAGAGAGATTGTCAACTAATGGAGGAGAGTTAATAAGACGAAATGCCTTTGATTCCACCCTATCTAATAGTTGGACAGAAGAACCACCCCAGATATGAGAGCAGTACTCCAAGTTAGGACGAATGAATCCCTTATATACTTCGAGCAACTGCTCAGGAGTGAAGTAGCTGCGGCATCTGTACAGCATTCCCAACTTTCGGGAGGCAGCTTTAGTTATGCTAAGGATGTGTGATTTCCAGGACATATTGGAGGAAATGGTGAGGCCTAACGTATTTATTTCAGAATTTGGGAGGATGATAGCGTCCTAAAATGTAATTGGTGGGAGATCGTCTACTTTACAAAGTGTAATTGGTAAATATTGAGATTTGTTAATATTAAACTTGACCAACTTTGTATCTCCCCATTCAGAGATGCATGGAGAAGAAATCATGAGAGTGAATATTTAACTTCACTATACTGTACAAAACATACGTCTGGCAACTGTCCAGACGACACTTACTTAATATTAATCCTTTCACTGAGTAAATGACAATTTCACTGTTACAACATGAAAACTGATATTCACAAAATTGACTAAGTTAAACTGAATTAATATGGCGGCAGGGACACTAATTCACATACCTGGAGATGCATGGAGAAGAAATCACGAGAGGGTGATTTTTACTCGGGGATCGATATATATATATACATGCCTGAGGGCATATCGGCCCCAGAAAGACTAATCATACTAACAATAGACCTATTCAAAGTGGTCGCTTTTTACCTAGCTGTGACCGTCGGTGTCACACATCAGGCTAATTTTTTTACATCTATCTTTATGATCTAATCAGAGATTGAGTTTGTCAGGAAGGAGGTGAAATGGAGTTATATATGCACTAACAACTATACTCGCCTGACCGCAGACCACATCCCAGGCCGAAACAGCCGATAAGTCTTGGAGAATTTCGAGTTCGACAGGAAATGTTCAGGAGATTAATGACTTTCTTAAATAGACAACTGATACTAACTAAACTACAAACATCAGATTCCCTGATGTTTGGTCGACAAAATAATATAACTTCAGTAGTGATCGGAAATACAGGATATCCCTACGAACGACAAAATAAGCCACTAACTGACACTCGACTCACTTACTTGACAAGTTTTACTAACAATACCGACAGTTGAAGCTTTCAAAACCATTCACAATGGATCTTGAATGTTTCAACTGAAAACAAACATATCTAGGTTGCCTCACCAATTGCAATCACAGTTGCAATTTCAAATTCTGTCATTACTAAGGATTAATGAAGTCTCGGGTACATTCTAAGATTGAGAGAAAACGGAGGACTCAGGCGTCCTGAAGCGATGAGAAAACGGACTCCTCAGATGGGGAACTCCAATAAGAAAGCATAGCTACATGTGTTGTGGGCTATTGAGCGTAATATGAATCGTCTGATTTTACGTTAACTGACGTGTATGATCGTGGTCATTACACCAGAAATGAAGAAAATTGCCTCCCAATAGGCCAAATATACTTGGGAGCAACAATACATGGCCTACTGCAAGGTGAACAATATAGAGAACTCCCTAATGTGGTCATGGATGTCCAATTCAGATGTCGTATCTTCATGATAAACTTTTGTGTGCAATTACGTTAAAGATTTGAGTTTGGCAGTAAATTTTATGGATGTGTTCATTTCTGTCATAAAATAGGGTATTTGATAATAAATCCAGGAAGGAGATGCCATCCTTATATGACTTAATGAAGGCGGTGCCCCGCATATACAATAGCAGTATACAAGTTTTAGACGATCAATGGAGAGACTTAGATGTCATTGCTATACCACCCGAGATTAAGGACATAGTGGACGTTTATACAAAACTAGGAGAACTTGCGGACGGTGTAGGTGTTTCCCAATTTAAGGACCTTTGTACATTTGCTTTGCAGGTATTGTCTCTTCCAACATCCAATGCAGATGAAGAGAGACTATTTTCTAAATTGAATTTAATGAAAACAAAATCCAGAAACGTTCTGCAAACTCCCTCTAGTAATTAATTAATAGCCTTGTCAGAGGCTGTGAAATTCCAGGATGGATGTATAAATTTTACACCAAATCAGAGGATGCTAACTTCTATTTTATATTTTTTTGTTCAATTAGTGTTTAAGGTTCCCATGTTATGTTATAATATTATATGATTGTAGGGTTTTTGTATGTGCATGTTTATATTTTGCCAAGATGTTACAATAGTTATACCTAAAATTCACGCTTTTTAATGTCCATTAATACCCAAAGAAAACGTGAGGAAAAATGACGTCATAGAGTTGAGGAATAAACGGCAGCGCTGATTGGAACAATCTACCAGAGAGTGTTGTGACGGCACCGAGTGTGAGCTCTTTCAAGACAAGACTTGACCAACACTGGAGCGGGTTCAGGTACATTCAGGAGTTGGTGCATGCCCAGTACCTGCCAACAGTGCGTGACAGAGACGACCGATTGCCCAGGCGGCTAGTGAGCCGATCTTTTGGTGAAGAAGATAAATGTAAAGGAAAAATGGCTGCATAGCTCTGATGCGGCCGTATCACCTCACGTCCAGAAAATGACTCAAATTTCATCATATCATAGTAAGTTCTTTCTGTTTAATGTACCGGGGAAGTTAGGTAAGGTTAGGTAGGGTTGTTTGGTTTGGTTGGTTAGGTCTGTTCTTTATACCCACAAATGTTTAGTAGCTTTTATTTAAAAAATTACATTTTTTAGCATTTGGTAAATTTGCATTGTCACACCGTTCTCTGTTAGAAAGTCAAAAATATATTTTTTTTATTGTATTTGTGTGTGTTTAGACCGAATATGACCTTCATTTTTGACGGAAAATAGCCAGGGTTTTTTTTATAATTTTTTATTTCGTTGGACGTTTTCCAAAAAAAATCATGGCAAAATACACCAAAAAAACACAAGAAAAACAAAAGCCAAACTTAACCTAACTGCCTGACTCTCACCATATGATGGAATCACCTATTTCTTACCTTATTGGCCTGGTTCTCGTTCATCGGTGGATTCTGAGATTCTTACACAACGCCACATATGTTGGTCTTTGCGATATTTACATTCAGTCGTGCTCTTAATACACTTTACTGAGGTTGGAAGAACACCATGCGATCGAAAAAATGCTATAGTTTCTTTGTTTCTTTCCAAAAAACTCACAATCAGCTCCATATAATTTAAGTGACACCCATCGCAGACTACCATAGGCGGAACTGAACTTGAATTTTGAAATATAAGACCCAAAATAAAACTCGAATTTGATTGGGCCAAATATACCGCTAATTAAACCCAAAATCATTTTAATTGGTTCCCCCCAAAAAAAAACGCTTTGATTGGCTGTGCGACGTGTACGGGAACGCATGCGCGTGATGATTTATGAAGGAGACGCAGGAGACACGCAGTGTTGAAGGTGAGGCAGGCGATGATGGAGGAAGATTAATGGATGAAAATAGAGAAAATTTTGGATAAGCTACCTACATTATACATTTCCGCCGGTAATGTAATAGATGAAAATTATCTAATAATTAGACGTCTTATTCGAATATGATAATAGATTAGTGGTAGGAATGAACGGTGTGTAAACGCAATAATACCTAGCATTTTTCCACAAACTACAACAGTGTTCACTATAATATAACAATGAAAATCTGGGATTTTTATAATTGTTTTCAATCAATTACACTCGCGGGTTAGTCCTATATAATTACCGGTAAATTTACGACTGCAAGTGTCCCGAGGGGTTAACAAATATGTTTTCCAGTGTATTCTGGTGTGTTTTAAGGAAATTTGACCTTCATTTTTTTTCAGAAATTTATAGTTTTTGCCCCCACCCCCCCAACAATAATGGGGGAGAGTCTGGGAAATTGGGGTTTTTGGGTCAGGGAGAAAACGAATCATCAAACCAAACAAAACCTAACCCAACCCAACCACTAGCCAGGGCCAGTAGGCCTTGCTTAAACTAACCTAACCTAAATGTTTCAGTAGTTTAAAACTTTGGGACGTGCCATGTCCGAAAGTACAATACAGTCGGCCCTTAACATACGCGGGGGTTGCGTAACAGAGATACCCGTGGATGTTAAAAATCCGTGTACTTTTGCTCCCTCCTCTGCCTCCTCCACCTCCTCACCGTCACTACTGCCGGCAACAAACACAAATGTTTTGTGAATAACTGCACCTCCACTTCCTATGTACAGTACTGAACTGTACTGTGCTGTGCATTTTTACAAACAATAAACATGGCAAGAAAAGCTATTAAAAAAAAGAGATAAAAATTTCACTTTACTGTACCGTACCTATCCTCGGCAACAGGACGGGGGTCATCGGGCTCATCGTCACTCAATTCCATAACGGGTGGTGAAGTGGGGGCGACGGTGGATTCAGCTGCTTCTTCACTGCCGCCAGTGATTGATGGTGTTAAATCTCTCCTTTGGTGATCAAAGAACATGGTGATGGGGAGTTGTCGTCTCTTTCTTTTCATTTCTTCCATGATGTTTTTGTATGGAGCAAACATGTCATCCATCCCTCGCATGAATTTCAGGGCACGCACCATGGAGGGGTCCATACTATAGGCTAGGTTTTTCAGTGCCTCAATATTCCTGGTCATCTCCCCTAACTTCTCCAACGTTATTTCTTGGTGCTCTTCCTCTTCCTCATCCTCTTTCCACTTTCGCTTCCTCTTCCTTGCCTGAGTCTACTAACTCCTGTAGATCCTCCTCGGTCAGCTCAGTGTCGTGCTCTTCAATTAGCTCCCTAATATCGTCCTCTGCCATGTCCTGGAAGCCTTCAGCAGCCACTTTCCTTGACAGTGCCAAGGTCTTTCTGAATATTTTCATTAAAATCCGTCAAAATTCTTTTTCCTTGTCATTGTCTTAAGCACCAAACAGCTCCTCCCAGTCTTCTCCTTGAACAGGGCTAGAGGGTACGTGTTTTTCGTATCATTTTCAATTAAAAAAATGTTACAGCACATGTATATTTTACCTAAACTGTGCCTGAATGAATATATTCTCAGAAATAAATACAGTATTACCCCGCCTAACGCGGTTTCACTTAGCGCGTTTTATCATATACGCTGTGCCTCGCCAGAGCTGAACTTTCACTTAACACGGATTTTTTCATCATATACGCGGTGAGTGTCCGGCTCGAGACGCTATTTTTAGATTTGCCCCACCTGCCACCCTGCCTGACTGCCTGTTTTATCTCAGAAAATTCATACAAATTACCCGGCCAGAATATAATTTACATTGATGGAATTCTTATAATTTGGTGATCATTTTGAATATAAACATCATATATTTTGCATTAGACATACAAATTTTAGATAAAATGTTTACTCTTGAGTAAATATGTTATCTTTTGTGCAAAATATATGACATTTATATTCAAAATATTCCTGGTCTTACAAGGAATCCAGCAATGTCAATTATATTATCCTAACTTTAGTTTGAGGTATTATTTATTACAAAAAAGTTAAGTATTCTGGTTTTCCCACACATCTCCTTGGGACGGTTGGTGGGGGGTGGGGGGAGGGAGGGACCGACCGACCGACCATCTGTTACCCTGTGAAGAATATTTTTTTTTTTTTATTAACTGAAGATATTTGTTTTAGCTCATAAAATTCATACAAATTACCCGGTCAGAATATAATTTACATTGCTGGAATTCTTATAATTTGATGATCATTTTGAATATAAACATCATATATTTTGCATTAGACATACAAATTTTAGATAAAATTTTTAATCTGAGTAAGTATGTTATCTTTTGTGCAAAATATATGACATTTATATTCAAAATATTCCTGGTCTTACAAGGAATCCAGCAGTGTCAATTGTATTATCCTAACTTTAGTTTGAGGTATTATTTATTAAAATTTAGTGGTTTTCCCCCAAAAATTTCTCAGAGAGGGAAGAGCCGGCAGTGTAGTGTGAGAGGGGGAGGGAGTTGAGTCCATTATTTGAATGGACATTAACTTGGCGACTGTATTTCTCTATTTCTCTTAAGTATTAATTGTGTGCATGTACCATCATAAAATTAAGATCTTATTTTTACTACAACATAGTTGTGTCTTCAAAAAGTGGAGTTTGGGGGTCGGGCCGGTTTCTATTGGAATTAATCCCATATGTTCTGTTGTTCACTTAATGCGGATTTCACTTAACACGGGACCCTCTGGGTTCTATTGACCGCGTTAAGTGGGGTACAACTGTAGTAGTTTTGCTGAAACGTGATGTATTTCAATGTAACATAGGATAAAATACATGACGAAAACAAAAGACCTTACCTAATCTTCTGATGTTCAAGAGATGTTACTCCTTTTTTTAATAGTTTTCGGTTAAAATACTGTTATATTAAAATGATATTCTGTTCATACTGTGCTTGATATACTACATTCACGGAAATGTAATATTTTTGCTGAAATGACGTACGTATTACAGTGGAAAGTGGGATAAAATCGTGACGAAAACAATGACTTTAGGTTTCTTTCATTCAAAAGATGTTACCGTAATCGCTTTTCGAATAGTTTTCAGTTAAAACAACTGTTGCTTCACAAGTGAATTAGGATAGAATATTATTGTAATACAACAGTTTTTTAACTGAAAACCATTCGAAAAGCGATTATGGTAACATCTTTTGAACGAAAGAAAGCGAATGTAATTGCTTTCGTCACTTTCCACTGTAATACGTACGTCATTTCAGCAAAATATTACATTTCCATATTCTCAGAAATAAATAGTAGTTTTGCTGAAACGTAATGCATTTCAATGTAAATTAGGATAAACTACATGAAAACAAAAGACTTTACCTAACTTTCCGATGTTCAAGATATGTTACTCGTTTTCTTAGTAGTTTTCGGTTAAAATACTGTTATATTAGTGATATTCTTTTCATACTGTGCTTGATATAATACATTCACGGAAATGTAATATTTTTGCAACTACAATGCTGATGTCAACACAAGCGTGGTTACAGCGAGACTGACTGAGTGAGGGAGATCTATGCGTGTGTGTGTGTGAGGTTGCGGGAGCGGGCGGTGTCCCGTGTTCGGTGCCGCGTGCGAGTTAAATGGCATGCGATTTGAATGTACTTCAATTACTTCAAAGTACAGAATATTCCTCCGGCGGGGCAATCCGCGTATTTGCAAATCCGTGTATGCTAAACCCGCTTGTGTTAAGGGCCGACTGTGCCTTAGTTCGAAGTGGAAGGATCAGTACAAATATGACCTTCACTGCTGTTGGATATGAGTGGAAGGTCAAAAAATACAAAAACCATACTTAACCTACCTAACCTAACCGCTAGTGTGTAGTGTGTAAGAAACTTGCCTTAAGTAAGAGATACAGGAGGATAGAGTGATGCGACTAGAAGGAGAACTTATTTGAGCCAGTCAACTAATGCGTGCTTTCGTACTGCGTGATATTAAAATGCCTAACATTTTCTTTGTTTTTATCTGTATGCTTCTTTGTAAGTCCTGGAATTCGTGGACATGGTCTACGTTTTCCTACGTTTTCAATTTTCTCTGAAAAGTTTCTTCTCGAAAATGGCTTTTCCAGCAGTTCCTTAACTAAATATGTGTCCTATTCTACCACAGTTTCCATTGCAAGTAGAACATTTATAACACTATAAGTCTATAACACTCGGGTAGCAGAAGCACCACAACACACACGAGGGGAAGAATGTAAACAACACGCACTACCCACGCAGACTACGTGGGTGGAGCCCCACGGCCTGGCGCATCATATCTGCCATTTCACCGTGGTTTGACTGTGACGTCAGCGAGTTGCACTCGCAGGCTTTCATCGAGGTGAAACAGCACCTACCGATGCGCTTGGGAGAGGAGCTAGCCCCGGCCGCGCTCCCTTACACAGTACTGTTACTAAGCGCTAGGCTGCATTTTAGAGTATAAATGTAAATTTTTTATTTAAGATGAATAAACAAACAAAAAGCTCTGAGCAGTGAGCGTGCACCGCATGCGTAGCATGCTCAGAGGATTCGCCACTGGTAGTTAGTATCCAGAACATCCCCAGTCAATCCAGCCGTTAGTGAGTACTGTACTGTAATTATGGAAGTGAGGCTAATTGATTACAGAGCCAGCCAAGTTGTTTCCTTGGGGAACTATCTACTTTACAGTAAGTCTTCCATAAACTATGGAATTCCGAAAACTTCAGCATTGTAATACTGTTCACTTTATTTCAGACATAAAGGTGTGAGTGGACGGATGTAAGAAAGGACCGTTATGGTAACATCAGGAGGCCATCCCACACAAACATCTCCCACCACAACTTAGTATTAAAGCTCTATAAAACAAGAGGCAGAACAATTCCTCACAGCTGTGCAATAAGTCAGTACAGTATGAGGATTAAAGAACATTTTTCCGAGAACATTGTAACCATAATTAAGGTAAATGTCAACTCTCCAATTGTTAAACAATATGAAAGTCAAGTTGGTGTTCTAGGAAACAGTGAGAATAAAAACAAGATTCACACAAGTGAATCTCTCCTGAAAATATCATTTAAGTGGTTCATTGTGTTATATATTATCTAAATACAGGATGAAGAGTGTTGCAATGTTCAAACTAAACTATTACCTTGTGACTTGCACTTGTGTACACTGCTAATATATGTTCCAATATATAAATGTGACAAGTGTTTGCTGTGCTTGTGTACTGTTGAGACAAAGTTCACTTGTGGTAAATGTTTCTCATACAAGAGTAGCTCAAGAACCACATACATGTGCAGAATTATTAATGCAAATTTAGTTGTGAAAAGTGGATAACCTTTGTATGCGGTGCTGAAGTTACCCAAATGTGTGTACACTGATGGATATATTTTCTTGTATGGAGTGTTGTAAAGTGTGTAAAAGATGGCCCAGTTTATGAATCAAATAGCAGGACCTAGTGGGCCAAATAATGATCAGTGTGGGGAAGTTTTTGGCAGTAATGATGCTTTGAAAATGCATACATGTACAGATGAACACATAGATGATAAGATAAGTATTAAGTGTGAAGAGTTTGAAGAAAGCTTTAACAGTGATTATGATGAGACACGTCATGTGACTGCTGATGAGACAGTCATTAAGTGTGAAGAGTTTAATGAATGCTTTAGCAGTGACTATGATGGGACACATCATGTGACTGCTGATGTGAAAGATATTAAGTATGAAGAGTTTAATGGAAGCTTAAACAGTGACTATGATGGGACACATCATGTGACTGCTGATGTGAAAGATATTAAGTGTGAAGAGTTTGATGAAAACTTTAGCAGTAACTATGATGGGACACAACATGTGACTGTTAATGAGAAAGATCTTAATGAAGAGAGTGGTAAAAGTTATTACAGAGAAGACAAACTGAAGCAGCATATGGTTGTACACACTGGTGAGAAGAATTTTGAGTGTGAAGAGTGTGGTAAAAGTTATTACAGAGAAGGCAAACTGAAGCAGCATATGGTTGTACACACTGGTGAGAAGAATTTTAAGTGTGAAGAGTGTGGTAAAAGTTATTACAGAAAAAGTGATCTGAAGAATCATAAGATTGTACACACTGGTGAGAAGAATTTTAAGTGTGAAGAGTGTGGTAAAAGTTATTTCAGAAATTGTGAACTGGTTTATCATATGCGTGTACACACTGGTGAGAAGAATTTTAAGTGTGAAGAGTGTGGTAAAAGATATTACAGAAGTTGTGCACTGTATGATCATATGCTTGTACACACTGGTGAGAAGAATTTTATGTGTGGAGAGTGTGGTAAGAGTTATTACAGAAGACATGAACTGCAGGATCATATGCGTGTACACACTGGTGAGAAGAATTTTATGTGTGGAGAGTGTGGTAAAAGTTTTTACAGAAATTATGAACTGCAGAAGCATATAGTTGTACACACTGGTGAGAAGAATTTTAAGTGTGGAGAGTGTGGTAAAAGTTGTAACAGAAAAGCTGATCTGAAAAATCATATGGTTACACACACTGGTGAGAAGAATTTTAAGTGTGATGAGTGTGACAAAAGTTATTACAGAAAAAGTGAACTGAAAGTACATATGGTTAAACACACTACTGAGAAGAATTTTAAGTGTGATGAGTGTGGCGAAAGTTATTACAGACTTACTGAATTGAAGAAGCATATAGTTGCACACACTCGTCAGTATTTTAAGTGTGAAGAGTGTGGTAAAAGTTATTCTACAAAACCCATTCTGAAGAGGCATATGGCTAGACACACTACTGAGAAGAATTTTAAGTGTGAAGAGTGTGGTAAAAGTTATTATACAAAAGGTGATCTGAAAAAACATATGGTTAGACACACTACTGAGAAGAATTTTAAGTGTGAAGAGTGTGGTAAAAGTTATTACAGAAAAGAACATCTGAAGAGGCACATATATAGCTGTGCACACTGGTAAAAAGAATCTTACATGAAAGTTTAAGGGAAAGATCTTATAGAAAATTTGACTGGAGAACTGTATGGTCTTGTGTGTTGGTAAGAATTATTCAAGTTCATATAATAGATTACTAATATCCAGAAAAGATGTTCTGGACATGGATAATTGGTTATCCACCTGGTAACACTTTAATGTGATGTTATGGTGGAGAATTATATGAGTACTGTATGTTATCTTCACCAATGTCACACCTGGTACTAAAGTGAAGGCTGGTCACTGCACTATGTCCTCACTCTTGGTTCAGTTAGATATAGATATTCCTGTTAGGTTCACTAGGAGTCACAAATAATATGTTTGGGTGTTTATCTTATTGTTAATGTTCCAAGTAAACACTTGGCACCTTTTCCATTTATTATAAAAATATATAGTTTTAGCATATCACAATCTGTTGGGTTTATTTATGAATTAACCAACACAGGGTTCTGAGAGAATTATCGGGCTCAGGGCTAGAGCCGGCAGTCACACGTCTAGGCAGGGTGCTGTACAGTCTTGATCTCTGTACCAGCCATTAACTTGCCTACTTAGTTGACAGGTTTACTGGGCCGTGGAGGTGACCTGAATGTCTTCTGCAATGTGACCGGATATGATGTGTTTGATCTATGCATTCCTGTGTGGAACATAACTAGACATAATGGGGATTAGCCCACCCGGGCACAGGTAACTGACTCACATTGGGGCCTGGGTAGCAAAAATGTAATAATAATAATAATTCATAGTAAATATAATTTATAATAAAGAAATAAAAAATGAATATAAAGTAACAATAATAACACCTTAATAATAATAAAGAACCATAAAGAAATACAAAAATGAAAAAAGATCAAAAGTGAGAAACACTATACTCCTTGTATGTATATTGTGTTGTCAAAAGTAACAAAAACAATTGAGACCCTGCAATTCTGTGTAAATGAGGCAGAAAGTTATATATATATATATATACAGTATTACCCCGCTTAACGCGCTTTCACTTAACGCGTTTTCGCATATACACGGTGCCTTGCCAAAGCTGAACTTTCACTTAACGCGGATTTTTCCACAGCAACGCAGTGAGTGTCCGGCTCGAGAGCTATTTTTAGATTCGCACCACCCCCCACCCGCCACCCTGCCTGACTGCCTGTTTTAGCTCATAAAATTCATACAAATTACCCAGCCAGAATATAATTTACATTGCTGGAATTCTTATAATTTGGTGATCATTTTGAATATAAACAACATATATTTTGCATTAAACATACAATTTTTAGATAAAAATTGTTCTCCAGGTAATTATGTTATCTTTTGTCGAAAATATATGACATTTATATTCAAAATATTCCTGGTCTTACAAGGAATCCAGCAATGTCAATTATATTATCCTAACTTTAGTTTGAGGTATTATTTATTAAAATTTAGTGGTTATCCCACACATCTCCTTGGGACGGTTGGTGGGGGGTGGGGGGGAGGGAGGGACCGACCGACCGACCGACCATCTGTTACCCGGTGAAGAATTATTTTTTTTTTTAACTGAAGATATTTGTTTTAGCTCATAAAATTCATACAAATTACCCGGTCAGAATATAATTTACATTGCTGGAATTCTTATAATTTGGTGATCATTTTGAATATAAACAACATATATTTTGCATTAAACATACAATTTTTAGATAAAAATTGTTCTCTAGGTAATTATGTTATCTTTTGTCCAAAATATATGACATTTATATTCAAAATATTCCTGGTCTTACAAGGAATCCAGCAATGTCAATTATATTATCCTAACTTTAATTGAGGTATTATTTAATAAAAGTGTTAAAACACTCTTGGGAGGTTGGTGGGGGGTGGGGGGAGGGTTGGGACTGACCACGCGGTTGGAAGAGGGGGGGAGGCAAGGTGGGGTACTTTGATTGACAGATAGTGTTGAAGAATATTTTTTTTTTTTATTAACTGTAGATATTTGTTTTAGCTCATAAAATTCATACAAATTATCCGGCCAGAATATAATTTACATTGCTGGAATTCTTATAATTTGGTGATCATTTTGAATATAAACATATATTTTGCATTAAACATACAATTTTTAGATAAAAATTGTTCTCTAGGTAATTATGTTATCTTTTGTGAAAAATATATGACATTTATATTCAAAATATTCCTGGTCTTACAAGGAATCCAGCAATGTCAATTATATTATCCTAACTTTAGTTTGAGGAATTATTTATTACTATACCTGGTTTTCCCCAAAAATTTCTCAGAGGGAAGAGCCAGTGAGTGTAGTGTGAGAAGAGGGGGAGGGAGTTGAGTCCATTATTTGAATGGACATTAACTTGGCGACTGTATTTCTCTATTTCTCTTAAGTATTAATTGTGTGCATGTACCATCATAAAATTAAGATGTTATTTTTACTACAACATAGTTATTTGTCGTCAAAAAGTGGAGTTTGGGGCTCGGGCTGGGTTCTATTGGAATTAATCCCATATGTTCTGTTATTCACTTAACGCGGTTTTCACTTAACGCGGGACCCTCTGGGTTCAATTGACCGTGTTAAGTGGGGTACAACTGTATATATATATATATATATAT